GAAGAAAAATGGTCTGGGGAGAAGATTTACAGCTACAGTTTCTATTTCCTTCCTTTAAATTTTTTTTTATTTGCTCTCTATAGTTCTTTTCTCCCTATCTCTGTCTTCTATTATACCTCAGAGTTAACTGTGTCCCCAGTCCCCTTACATCCAGGAACCTTGGACCCCTTCCCTGAACCCACTAGGAATTTCTCTCTCCTTTAGTCAACGAAGATTTATAGATGTGCTCACAAGCCCAGCCTCCTGCTATGTGCCTTTGGGTGCTCATAGCCCTGGTTCTCTCTGCTTATTTTTCCCTTTTCAAACAAAATAATAGAGACGTAAAGAGCTCTGAGAGGGCTTGAAAGGCTGTTTCTCCTGGTAGACATTTTTTTTTTTTTAATACCAGGGATTGAGCCCAGTGGTGCTTAACCAGTGAGCCATATCCCCAGCCCTTTTATATATTCTTTTGGAGACAGGGTCTTGTCTCGATAAGCTGCTGAGGCTGTCTTTGAACTTGCAGTTCTCCTGCCTCAGCCTCTTGAGCTGCTGGGATTACAGACATGTGCTACCAGGCCCAGCCCTGGTAGACTTTTGTCTGCCAGGATGTGGGGGGCTGAGGGCTCAACCCCACAATAGAGGTGTGGGGTTGAGGGGCTCCTCCAAAGCCATGGAAAGCCCTCCCCATTCTCTGGCTTCTAGAGACAGGAAAGAGGCCACAGGTTTCCCATTGCTAGCCAGGAATAGATCCTAACAAGCCATTTCCCCTACTTTCCGAACTGTGCAAGCCCTAAACTTACATTCTTCTAAGACGTTTAAAACCAGGGCTTTGCAGCATAAGTTCTACACATTTGCTGCACACTTTGCACATCCACAAAGGGTTCTGGCAACACTGATTTTATCAGCTCTTTCTCCTGGTAAGTGGGATCCACAGTTTGTTAACCCTATTTCACAGCCAAGGAGTGCCACAGAGCAGCTCAATCATGATCAGTAAGGGTATGAAGATAAAAACAAAAAAAATGGGGGTGGGGTTGTGGCTCAGTGATAGAGCGCTTGCCTAGCATGTGCAAGGCACTGAGTTCAATTCTCAGCACCACATACAAATAAATAAAATAAAGGTCCATCAACAACTAAAACAAATTTTTTAAAAAATGGAGGTCCAAATCTAGCTAGGGCCATTTCTGCATTCAATATCCTTACATGGAGGGCAACTAAGGACTTCCACTCCTTCCACATCCATGCCTGCCCCTGGCACATTAACTATTTTTTCTTTTTTTCCTTGAAGTACTGGGGACCAAACCCAGGGCCTCGTGCATTCCAGGGGAGTGTTCTATCACTGAGCTACACCCCCAGCCCCACTGTTGTTGCAGCTCTATAACCTTTCATTTCTTCCAACATGTCTTTATTGTCACCTCTGGGGCTTTGAATATGCTGTTCCCTTTGTCTGGAACACTCTTTTCCTCAAACACAGTTTTCTACCTGTCCTACTTCCTCACTTGACTAATTTCCAACTTGTTTTTTCAGGTCTTGATTCAGAATCATTGGATCGTGTTGGTACCCATTTCCTGTCTTTTCATCTCCCATAGCACTTAATCATTCATGCACTTAGTCAGCAATTATTTATTGGGACTGGGGTTTGAACCCAGGGAAGCTTTACCACAGAACTCCATTGCCAGTCCTTTTTTATTTATTTTGAGTCAGGGCCTCACTAAATTACTGAGGGTAGCCTCCAGACCTTGAGTCACTGGGATTACGGGTGTAGGCCACTGTGCCTAGATCAATATGCAGTTTTTTTGTGACTGACTACTTAGAATGATGTTTTCAATTCATGTTGTAGCATGCATTGGTATGCTATTTATTTTTATGGCTGAACAATATTCCATTGTGTGGATATACCACACTTGGTTGAGTTGCTTATTAGTTGATGGACATTATTTGAAAGAGTCAAAAAGTTGTTTCCGCTTTTTGACTCTTTCAAATAATGCTGCAGTGAATATTCCTGTACAAACTTGTTTCTTATGTATGTATGTTCTCTTGGAAGAATACCAAAGAGTGAAACTGCTAGGTCATATAGTAATTCTTTTTTTAATTGCTTTTATTTTTTAAATACATGACAGCAGAATGCATCACAATTCTTATTACACATATAGAACACAATTTTTCATATTTCTGTTTGTATACAAAGTATGTTCACACCAATTCATATCTTCATACTTTGGATAATGATGTCCATCATATTCCAACATCATTGCTAACCCCCTGTCCCCTCCATTCCCCTCCCACCCTCTGCCCTATGTAGAGTTCCTCTATTCTTCCCATGTTTCCTCTCTCTACCATACTATGAGTTAGTCACCTTATATCAGAGAAAACATTTGCCATTTTTTTTGGGGGGGGGATTGGCTAACTTCACTTAGCATTATCTTCTCCAACAACATCCATTTATCTGCAAATGCCATGATTTTATTCTCTTTTATTGCTGAGTAATATTCCATTGTGTATATATGCCACTTTTAAAAAATCCATTCATCTACTAAAGGGCATCTAGGTGGTTCCACAGTTTAGCTATTGTGAATTGTGCTGCTATAAACATTGATGTGGCTGTGTCCCTGTAATGTGCAGTTTTTAAGTCCTTTGGGTATAGACTGAGGAGAGGGATAGCTGGGTCAAATGGTGATCCCATTGCAAGTTTTCCAAGGAATCTCCATACTGCTTTCCACATTGGCTGCACCAATTTTTAGACCCACCAGCAATGTATGAGTGTACCTTTTCCTCACATCCTTGCCAACACTTATTGTTGTTTGTCTTCATAATGGCTGCCATTCTGACTGGAGTGAGATGGTATCTTAGAGTAGTTTTGATTTGCATTTCTCTAATTGCTAGAGATGATGAACACTTTTTCATGTATTTGTTGATTGATTGAATATCCTCTTCTGAGAAGTGTCTGTTCATGTCCTTGGTCCATTTATTGATTGGGTTATTTGTTGATGATATAGTAATTTTATGTTTAATCTTTTTTGAGGAACTGCCAGGCTGTTTTCTAAGCTGCTGCGGTGGTACAAGGGTTCTGATCTCTCCACTTCTCTTTGACATTTGTTATTGCCTTTCTCTTTGATTATAGTTGTCCAAGTAGGTGCAAAATGGTTCTTCTGAAGTTCTGTGACAGCAGGGATTCCATCTGTCTTGTTCACTTATATCCAGAGTCTAGTACAGTGCTGGCACTCAGATACTAAATATTTTGTTAATCACATTCAAAAAATTTTGTATGGATAAGTAAATCAAAAGCTACTTGGACAGTTACAATGCTTGTTGTGCATTTATCTCCCAAGTAGGGGCCTATTTGCTAGGGAAGTAGTATCTAATTTTTTGAACTGAACCAAACCTATTCCTGATTTTATGGTCTTTCTTCTGTGACAAAACTGGGTTAAATGTAAGCTTTCTTGCTTTTCTTCAGATCACTCATTTGGATTTCAAATGTGCATAAACTCCTCATTTAGACACTTGCAGGTAACTTCTTGGATATTGGCTTATTTTGTTTCTTCTTACTTTTATTCCTTATGCGAAACTTTCAACTTTTTTATACAGAGCTCTTTGCTCACCCTCAGGCACTCTTTTCTTACAAATGTCATCTTCTTGTTACTTTCCAGGCTGGTCACACTGGAACAATCAATACCTATCTCTTATGTTTTCTTTTAATATTTTTCCTGTTTGGGTTCCCTGGTTTGGAAGTATCTGGAGGCTCTTAAGAGGCAGGAAGTCAGTTAGGCCAGGCACGAGTGATGCTCAGAGCTAGCATTTAGCACTAGAAAAACAACTGTTCAAAGAATGAATGAATGAATGTTGTCTATGTGAGAAACACAGCAACCGAGATGGAAAGGTGATTCTCTATTGCAAAAGGCAGATTTGGTCAACAAATAGTTATTCAATACTGACTGTGTCTTTACTTTGTGGCATGTGTCAAAATACATGCTAAATAAAACAGGGGTCTGGCTTGGACAAAAATCACTCCTAGCTGCATGATTTCTATTTCCCTATCTATATCTTCTCACTCTTTATCCTACACCTGTACATTTTGAGAATCACCTTTTAGCTAAGGAATCGTCTCATTTGTCTCGGCCCCAAAGTTCTGATCTTAGTGTGCAAAGCCACCCCTGGGTCCCGATTCACTAGTGCCCCAGGTACTCTTGCACCTTCAAACAGCTCACTCTCTTGCACAGACGCTAAGCCCTGACGTCGGGGTCCTCGGATCAGAACCTCCGAAAGAATGGACGGCACGTCCACCAGAGGGTGCTGTGGGGGCAGATTTGTGCGGGAGGGGAGCTCGACCCGCGACCCTCGGAGTCAGGTAGGCGTACAGGCTAATTTTCTTTCTTCCCGGCGTTTCCTTCCCATCGCCTAAAACCCTGGCCGCCCCTCCTCCACTCGTGGTTCCCCCGGAATAATCAGCCGCTCTCGGGGACTCCTGGGGAGCTGGCTTCGGAACCACGACCTGCTCCCGCCGCCGACGCCCCGCGGCGCAGG